ACGATAATTTAATACGACATAAGCGCTGATTAGCAAGTGTGAGCTAAGTGAGTGAATGTTGTTTAAAGTGAAATTCATCGGTACGTTTTCACTGCAAACTGACTATAGCCCAGACGCTGGTTTTATAGTGCAAGCTCACTTAGATACTATGCCACAGTTAAGCATGAATACCCCACTCAGACACATTATACTGACTCCGAGCCGACAAGTCCGTGTTGTACCCATTAATGCCGAGCGCCAGACAGGGACCAACAAGTACCATATTTTAAGGTCTTATAGTATGACGCGACCGGGGTTTGAACCCTCGACCTTCCGCTCTCCGGGCAAACGCTCTAACCACTACACCACGGAGGCGGTCGAATGTTGTTTTGACTCATTGTTGTCATCAAACCTGCTGAAGATCCGGACTAAAATTGGTCTTTATTAACCCATGCTTGTCTTAAGAGGCGACTTACGAGATCGGGTTGTCAGACACGCGGACCCGGTTGACGAGTCACCGTATCCAAATCGAGTTGATCGATGCTCATTCTGTTGATCATGGGGTCGTCTGGTCCAGATTCTATTATTCACAGACTGCCACCATATAGCTGGAATATTGCTGAAGTTGGCGTTAAACAACAAACATATTTTTAAGTCATGAGATATCACATCACTACAATATCACAGCTGTAGTTGTCGGAGATCGAGCCGGTATCTCCAGACAATGGTCTCCTGCTACCACTAGGTGTCAACCTTTGTACGATGAGGTTGTGCACTGTTCTCCACGCAAGATGTGCTTATTGTAGGAAAAGAGGAAGTCCGCTCTGACTGCACCAGCAAAGGGTCAACACTAAGAATGTCAGCACACACCAGTCATCATTTCCACTCTAGGACATGGAGATCCTGCTGTAGGAAGTGGAGATCCAGATGTAGGACATGGAGATTCTACTGTAGGACGTGGAGATCCTACTGTAGGACGTGGTGATCCTGCTGTAGGACATGGAGATCCTGCTGTAGGACATGGAGATCCTGCTGTAGGACATGGAGATCCTGCTGTAGGACATGGAGATCCCGCTGTAGGACATGGAGATCCTCTGCTGTAGGAAATGGAGATTCTGCTGTAGGGCATGGAGATCGCGCTGTGGGACATGGAGATCCTGCTGTAGGACATGGAGATCCTGCTGTAGGACATGGAGATCCTCTGCTGTAGGACGTGGAGATCCTGCTGTAGGACTGTAGGACATGGAGATCCTGCTGTAGGACATGGAGATCATGGAGATCCTGCTGCTGTGGGACATGGAGATCAGGACTGATCCTGCTGTAGGACGTGGAGATCCTGCTAGGACATGGAGATCCTGCTGTAGGACATGGAGATCCTGCTGTAGGACATGGAGATCCATGGAGCTGTAGGACATGGAGATCCTGCTGTAGGACGTGGAGATCCTGCTGTAGGACATGGAGATCCTGCTGTAGGTGTAGGTGGAGATCCTGCTGTAGGACATGGAGATCCTGCTGCAGGACATGGAGATCCCTGATGTAGGACATGGAGATCCTGCTGTAGGACACTGTAGGAGATCCTGCTGTAGGACATGGAGATCCTGCTGTAGGACATGGAGATCCTGATGTAGGACATGGAGATCCTGCTGTAGGACGTGGAGATCCTGCTGTAGGACGTGGAGATCCTGCTGTAGGACATGGAGATCCTGCTGTAGGACATGGAGATTCTGCTGTAGGACATGGAGATCCTGCTGTAGGACATGGAGATCCTGCTGTAGGACATGGAGATCCTGCTGTAGGACATGGAGATCCTGCTGTAGGACGTGGAGATCCTGCTGTAGGACATGGAGATTCTGCTGTAGGACATGGAGATCCTGCTGTAGGACTGCTGTGGAGATCCTCATGATAGGACATGGAGATCCTGCTGTAGGACATGGAGAGGACATGGAGATCCTGGATCTGCAGGTGGGATCCTGCTGTAGGACATGGAGATCCTGCTGTAGGACATGGAGATCCCTGCTGTAGGACGTGGAGATCCTGCTGTAGGACGTGGAGATCCTGCTGTAGGACATGGAGATCCTGCTGTAGGACATGGAGATTCTGCTGTAGGACATGGAGATCCCGATGTTTGACATGAAAATCCCGATGTAGGACATGGAGATCCCGCTGTAGGACATGGAGATCCTGCTGTAGGACGTGGAGATCCTGCTGTAGGACGTGGAGATCCTTCTGTAGGACATGGAGATCCTGCTGTAGGACATGGAGATCCTGCTGTAGGACATGGAGATCCTGCTGTAGGACATGGAGATCCTGCTGTAGGACATGGAGATCCTGCTGTAGGACATGGAGATCCTGCTGTAGGACATGGAGATCCTGCTGTAGGACATGGAGATCCTGATGTAGGACATGGAGATCCTGCTGTAGGACAGATCCCGATGTAGGACATGGAGATCCTGCTGTAGGACATGGGACATGGAGATCCTGCTGTAGGACATGGAGATTCTCCTGAGGATGGAGATCCCTGCTGTGGAGATCCTGGAGATGAAGATCCTGCTGTAGGACATTGAGATTCTGCATGGGTCATGGAGATCCTGCTGCAGGAGAGTGGAGTCTGCTGGACATGGAGATCCTGCTGTAGGATCCCGATGTAGGACATGGAGATCCTGCTGTAGGACATGGAGATTCTGCTGTGGAGGGACATGGAGATTCTGCTGTAGGACATGGAGATCCTGCTGTGGGACATGGAGATTCTGCTGTAGGGCTGTGACATGGGACATGGAGATCCTGCTGTATGGGACATGGAGATCCTGCTGTACTGATCCCATGGAGATCCTGCTGAACATGAGTGCTGCTCTACTGATCCCACCCCAAATCGCTAAACATGAGTTCCTATTGTGATGACCCAAACATTGTGTACTGGGATATTTCAGCATATTTACTGACTGACATTTGATCCTTGAAGATGCATTCAATCCTCAGATACCTAGCCCGGTGCAGCAAAACTGTTTAGGGTACATGCATTTATCTGGTTTTCCCATGCATTCAATCTAATTCTGCTAGCCTGGGTCCAGGTGTTCAATATATGTCCGCTTCTCTAGGGCCAGTCTGTTGGGTATTTAATATGTCTACATGTCTTGGCACAAGTCTATTAGGTATAAAATATATTTCTGCTACCCTGATTTCTCTCTATTGGGTATTCAATTTGTGTAGTACCCTGTCTGCAGGCTATTTACAGTCTAACCAAACAATTCATCTGCCCAAAACAAAGTTCCAGGCACTGCTCCAAGTGTGTCTATAACTTCACAGGTGATTTATCTAGATACAATAAGCTACACGAGTGTATAATCACTGCAGTGTATGTGCAGGGTCTGCATTATGTATATGGAAATGTTGCTGGGGATACACAGTTTCTATGTATTTCCTCTATGCAAGCTGTCATTATGGTCTGTAGTTTCTATTAACTGGTTATAAATATGAATGTGCACAGAGACACTTAAGGCAACACATATTGCAGTTGCAGTGAAATGGGAGACTACAAGATACACAGTATCACAATAACTACTTCCCTACTTGCCAGAAGCTCCTATGATTCTAATAATAATGGCATACATGCTTACTATGCACCAATTCTCACAAACTAAAGCTTGATGAAAGTGTAATATAAACCCCATTCAGCAGATCTGTGTGCGTTCAGTTCCATTCTCTGCTCCCTGGGGTTCCTGCAACCCATGCTATACCAGTGATGTGTTCGAAGGTTAACTTATCCTACTGGGTACCCATTCACTGCAGGCTGAGCAGAGAACAGAGACAGTAGTTGTGGTACCCAGGGATACATGTGCTTCAGTGTGAAGGTGAGACCAAAGCCCTAGGAACTCTCAGGAGTCCTGAAAACAGTCACCCATCCAACTCCTCCCCATGCCCATGACCAATGTTGCTTACCTTCAGCAGATTTGTGAAATCTGTACTGTATATAGAACCATATACCACCATGATATTTCTAACACCAGCACACACACACACACACCCCACACACACCCCAGTTTGATCACCATGTCCCTCAGATACAGCAGAACATCAAGTGAGATCCAGCAGACCTAGGACCATTTGTACAAAAAGATCTCAACATCACAATGAACGTAACTCCCATACTGTAACACACACTCTCGTAGCACTAAGATCGGTTTGTGAGCCTAATGTAATAAAGAGTCAGTCCAAGTATCCTGTAAGCTTAGGTCAATCCATCTCTGGTGTCCTGCACCATGATATCGCTGAAACAGGGGCGTGTCACGCTTAGAAACAGCGTTAAAAGACATATAGGTACATAGACCTTACCCTAGTACTATATAAAAGGATACTAGGGTAGGGTCTATGTACCTATATGTAATTCTAACGATGTTTCTAAGCATGTCACGCCCCTGTGATCGCTGAAATATTGCTATAAGCGGCATAAAACCATATTCATTCACTCAAGCTCAATCCTGCAATGGTACAAACAGCCAAAGCTAAATTGATACTGACTAAAATGTGAGACTCACAACAGAACAAGTCATGTGAGCAAAATTCTAACTAGCCTGATCTTTGACTGACATATCCTTAAATACTATATGCAACAGAGACCTCATTAAGACTGACTGAGTATGGTTTTACGCCGCTTTTAGCAATATTCCAGCAATATCAGCGGGGAACACCAGCAATGGACTTCACAAGTTGTACCCATGTGGGGAATCGAACCCGGGCCTTCGGCATGACGAGCGAACGCTTTAACCACTAGGCTACCCCACCGCCCCACCTCAAGAAGCCTTGTTTCCAGACTGACCCAGACCCAATACTGGTACTATAGTCATTGACAAAGATTGAGTGAGTTGTGTTTTACGCAGTATTCAGATGATATCAAAGAGTGACAGCTTAGTGTGTTGAGACAAGTCTGGACACATGAATATCCATTATCCCGTGAATCTGAAATTTCAACCCATGACCACTCAAGGGTTAACTCCTTCCATGTAAGCCTTCCATGTAACACTGAGCATATTGCAGATTTTATTTATGGACATTTCCCATTATTTATTTCAATTTTTGACAACAGCAACAAACTACAAGTCAATGACAAAGGTAGTTATTTGTTTTGTATAACATTCATTTGACCTGTATGAAAATACCGTTAGTACATAAAACTTGTAGTGCTTAAAGATTCATTAAAAATAATCAGGAGCAGGTATTGTAAAATACTGTCAAATAAGTAAGCGTGGCAGGACTTTCAATGAGAACTAGACACTGTTCACGATACACTGACCATTACTTCAGCGACCATGACAGCATGTGAGTTGACTGAAATGCTGATTTGTACTTGAGTCATATCACAGTGTGCCCGTTGCTTTGTATGAGGAAAAACCTAAGTGAAGACAGTTGAAAAGGTTGACTTGTCTAAAGAAAACCCATCAACAGATGGAAGGAATCGGGGATGTGAACCCACTACCGACTAGTGGTACCATCCACTTGTAGCACTACTATACTATCACTGCCACCCTAGCAGTCTGGATCTCTTCAGAACAAAAACACAACACTACATAGCACCGTTACAAACTGACATCTCAAAGTTACAGCAGATGTGTCTCTGTTTCTCCGCTTATCAATACAGACACAGGTGAGACACACACATTTTCTATTGTATGTTACACAGATTATGCTGTGCCAATAACTGTATATCATTGTATATATGATGGATTCACAGGTCCTTGTCCATGACTCAGAAAAACTTGGATGCCACACTGCATGTAGGGGAGGTAACTCTTCACAGCTTCACATTAAGTCGAGGTCAGGATGAGATGAATTTCTCTGAATTCTGAAGAAAGTTGTTGCAAGCTCTGTAGCACTGCTCATACACTTTCTCAAAGTCCTTGATGTTGTTGCCCTATAACATAATGTGAATGTTTGGTTCAGTATTCTAACTAGGCCACAGATTGTCTGCTTAATGTGGGAAAAAAGCCTCAATGTTACACTACACCAAATCAGAATCTACCGGTAGTTTAAAAAGCAGTTTTCGTAGGGAGCCTACAGTACAGACTGAATCATCTGGCAGCTGTGATTGGATGATTTTGTGTAAGATTTTTGTTTAACTTTATTGTACTCGGAAAAGGAGCTGAATGAAGTAGTCATTTTTCATACTTGTACTGGTGCTGTGAGGCCTGACTATGCCCACATGTACATGCAATAGCTGTTGATGGCATAGTTCATTTTTAAAAAATATAACATTACTATAGACGTCAATGGAGTGAGTCTAGTTTTACGCCGCACTCAGCATTAAGAAGTCAATGGAGTGAGTGAGTGAGTTAGGTTTTACACCGTTTTTAGCAATATTCCAGCAATATCACACATCTGGTTTTGTGTAAAGCTCAATGTGCAGCGCGAAGTTTAACACTAGGGGAGGCAACTCTACGCAGTGGTTTGCAGTGCTTTAAGAGATGTTCCCTCAAGTTGCCTACTACATACACATTATAGTTGTGTCTGATGTAGTTCTGTGTACATATTTATTTTAAAATCCAAATATTTTACATATATTTCTTATAAATAATTAGTTGTCAGTTTGTAAGGTTTTACCAGTCAGCAGCAACACACTATATCTGTCACTCTCTAATTGCCCCATGCCAAGAGCTCAATGGGCTGATTGGCCAAGCTAACACCTATTGTTGAACTGCATGTTTTGTTCAACCTAAAAATCAGCACTCTACAGAACAGCTCAGGTCAGTGAAAGGATGAGTTTGGATAGAAAATAAGTAAGTGGTAAGAGTTCCTCCCGTTCCCCCATCCCAAATAATATGTATAAATATACTAAAATTATTAACAAAACTAAACACAACAATTACTAGGGAACTCACAAAATGACTAAAAGTCCAAAATTTAAGTTAGGGTTGGGTTTAGGGTTGGGGCAACGGAGGGAACTCTTTCCATAAGTGTAACATACAAATTTAAATATAATGCATGCTAATCTTTCTGAATAGGATATGTACATTAATGTATTATATTTAGTCTACAAGATCTATGTGTATCGTATTTCAGTTCCAGAAATATATCTCCGTAAATGAGATCACGCTCTTGTATTACTGACAGGGTAGGCATTATCTTTTTTTACATTTGTGCAAGACCTGGGGTATATCTCCATGTTGTAATACGTTCAGTGCCATAGCACATATCTTTCTGCTTAAAGTCTTTGAACAGTATGTTTAAGTACAATGTATTAATATTTTGTATTTAAGTCAATGAGTTATATCAGTTCAATTACATAAGACAAGCTACATAGTATAGATGTAGTTATCATTCAGAACATGCATTGTGCAAACTTTTCATAATCTGTCTCAGCAAATCCACAGCACATCTGTGTCTACAAGTCTAGGATTTCAAGGCTAGTCACTTGTCATTTGAGTGTAACTGGAAAGTAGTCAAAAAATGTAATTTTCTGAATAAAATTGATATTTTATACATATCCTGACTCATGCTATTTGCTTGTCTTCTTCTTCTTGCGAACATAGTGGAACACTTGTATCTCCCAATTGAAGTTCCCTTCAATGTAAAATCACTAATTAGTACTCACGAGTTATCTGTCCCCTCAAAGGCGCGGGAACGAGGGCGCCACCTTCTGCCATGTGCCTCACTCTCTCCTTATATAACGAGCCCAACACTTGAATTTTCAGGGAAATCCAAAGTGTAATGTGGGGAGGATGGGAGGGCTTACCTCATGAGTCAGGATAAGTATAAAATATCAATTTTATTCAGAAAATTACATATTTTTCCTTATCCTGACTCATGCTATTTGCTTGTAGAATCCGACGGAAACGGAGGTGGGAATACAGAATACTTTGGATTTAGATAATTATTGATTTGTACTGTAATGACTGTAATAACCCTTATGGGAACTTCATAAAGGCACTGAATTGATGAATTCCTGCTGCTAACTTATCAGCTGCCATATATGGGTTATTACAATATAAATATTATGATAAAAGTATATACAACATGAATACTATGCTTAAGACTAATTAGACTTAAGCTTGACAATATGATAGCATAAACTTCATAGAGTTTGTTAGCTAATATACTTTTATGATATAACCATAGTACTGAGCTTAAGATATGATTAAACTTAAGCTAAATATATCATAGCAAAAAACTCCGTAGAGTTTGTTAGCTAATATACTTTTATGATATAACCATAGTACTGAGCTTAAGATATGATTAAACTTAAGCTAAATATATAATAGCAAAAAACTCTGTAGAGTTTGTTAGCTAATATACTGTTATGATATAACAACCATAGTACTGCGCTTAGGATAATAAATGAACTTAAGCAAAATATATAATAGCATAAACTTCTTAGAGTTTTAGCTATGTAGTACTGTTATGAGATAAGTAGTAAAATCTGTAAGATTGACTTATCTTCTCCGAGGAACTGTCAACTGTTGTGCGAGGACCATGGGACCGAAATGGTGGATACCTGAGATGTCCTCGGTGGTGATATCTCTCAGATAATGGTTGGCAAACACCATATCGGATCTCCAAAAACAACCCTCCATTATGGTATTCAAAGAGCAGTTGTCGTGAAGAGCAAGTGTAGATGCTAGCTCTCTAATTACATGAGGATTAGATGCTCTTGGAGGATGAGTCCTGAAGCCTTGTAGGCACGTAGTATGACAGTTCTGATCCAAATGGAGATAGTAGTACGTGAGACTTCAGTCTGCGTAGCTGTCGATAGAGGAATAAATAATCTCTTGAATTTTTGTCTCCTCTGTTTGGATCGACGTAGATATATTTTCAGTGCTCTCACTGGGCATAGTGATAGATCCATCGTATCATGAGGTCCAAGAATAGATGAGAGAGCTGGGACATGACTTAACCTGTCTGGTTGGCCTGGTAATTGGTTCTTGGCGATAAAATCCCAACGTAGTCCCATATGCACGATGTTATGAATGTCATCAAAGCGTGTTCTCTCGTAATCTAATGCGTGAATCTCTGACATCCTGGCAGACATAGCTAGAGATAACAGGAACAAAGTTTTCTGAGTCAGAAATTCGAACGATGTAGATTCTAATGGTTCATATGCCTCACTTGTGAGGTGTTGGAGCACTACATTTAGGTCCCAAGCTGGAGCGTGAAATCTGCGTTTCTGATCCTCCAACCGGAATGCACGTAGTAAGGCCAGTAACTCTGGGGTCTTGGTTAGCTTGACACCCGTTCTCATAGTTATGACAGAGCTTATTGCTGCAAGATAAGTAAATAAGGTGAAGCCTTTTCAATTTTTAGTCTGACGTAGATAACATAAGTAGTCAGACACTTGAGGATGAGTAGCCTATCTAGCTGTAAATCCTTTCTCTGCAGCATAATTGACAAAACTGTGCCATTTGTCATCGTATAAGTTGCGAGTGGAGTTACGCAAGGCAAGCGTGACTGCTTTTGCCGCTCTGGCTGAATAACCTCTTTTATTTAGACACGCCTTAATACAGTCCATACATGAAGTTGGAAAGCTTCTGGCTTTCCGTGCGCTTGTTTGGTGTGCGGATGTATTAACAGATTCGGGCACTTTGGAAGTTGTAGTATTGGTTGTCCGATTTCTTGAATAAGAGTTGGAAACCACGTTCTCGCTGGTAAGTAGGGCGCGACCAAAATCAGTTGGAGGCTCTGAGTTTGCTTGATTTTGAGTAACACTTGTGGGATTAACGCTTTACATTGAAGGGAACTTCAATTGGGAGATACAAGTGTTCCACTATGTTGCGCAAGAAGAAGAAGACAAGATACTAGCCACACCTCAAATGAAAAACTAATAATAAAACAAAGGCATCCTGCTCACTGGGCTGAAGAAGGAGAGTGAGGCACCACGGCAGGAGGTGGCGCCCTCGTTCCAGCAGCTTGTGAAAGGAGGTAGATAACTTCGTGGTGAATACTAATTAGTGATTTTACATTGAAGGGAACTTCAATTGGGAGATACAAGTGTTCCACTATGTTCGCAAGAAGAAGAAGACAAGCAAATAGCATGAGTCAGGATAAGGAAAAATTACAGGTTTCATAAAACATATGACTCACATAGTACGGGTCTTCTATGATCAGCTCCCCATCAGGGTCACACTCTCCCAGTAGCAGCAACTTGGACCGAAAAGACCTTGGCTTGATTTCATTCAGTTCACTGTAACAGAGTCAGCACTGATATTAAACTGTCTTGTCATATATATGTACACAGCAATATTGCCATTGCTACAAAATGATTTGGTGAATAGGTGATCGTTCCTCTCCTTCACCAGATAAAGACAGGGGAACAGCCTGAGCTACATCAATAATCATGTGTCATCAACACCTTCTTGCTGCACAGACTGTAGTCCCTGAGTCTGTGGAATAATTGCATGATATTCTAGGGGGTTTTGTCATAAAATACAAGGAATTCAAGTATTCCCCTCATTTATATCATTATCCTGGCATAACAGGTCGTGGCTGCCATCAATTCCATTCATGCAGAGATTGGTTCAACCTGTCAGCTTTAGTAGAAATATCACGATACGAAACGTATCGTGATATCTTGGAACAATACAATTCGATTCGATGCATATCACTATATGCTGTCTTTAGTTATTTTCTTTGAAAACTTTTAGTTTGATAGCAAGTAACAGTGTAAATTTTGAGCAATTATCCAGCAATATCACGGAGGGGGACACCAGAAATGGGCTTCACACATTGTGCCCATGTGGGGAATCGAACCTGGGTCTTCGGCGTGACAAGTGAACGCTTTAACCACTAGGCTACCCCACCGCCCCTGTTTCATGTATTGACCAATGACAGAAGATGCTATTCCCCAACCATACATCAAGGAGAGCAATTCACATTGTCAGTTGGTCAGTTGGACAATGAAGGAAGAGATGACGCTGACACAAAAACTTCAATGTAGTTGGTGGATGTGTTCTCAACTGTTTTACTATTGAAGCAGTAAGGTGAGGTGAGGTGAGATTGGGTTTAACATCGCGCTGGAGAATATTTCGCTCATATGACGACGTGCATGCGTGTGTATGTGTAGGTGCGGCTGCTTGTACTAGCCCAGACTGAAGCTGGTTTTATAGTGCTAGCCCACTGAGATACCATGCCGCAGTGAAGAATGAATACCCCACTCAGACACATTATACTGACTCTGAGCCGACCAGTCCTTGTTGTACCCATTAATGCCGAGCGCCAGGCAGGGACCAACAAGTACCATATTTTAACGTCTTTTGGTATGACGCGGTCGGGGAATAATGCATGCTGTTGTGAAGGAAGGTTGGTTGGTTGGTTTGTTAATGCTGCACTCAGCAATATTTCAGCTATATGACGGCGGTCGAGTATAATCGAGTATGGACCAGACAATCCAGTGATCAACATCATGAGCATCGTTCTACGCAATTGGGATACGATGACATGTGTCAACAAAGTCAACGAGCCTGACCACCCGATACCCTTAGTTGCCTCTTACGACAAGCATGGGTTACTGTTAAAGAACTGTAACTTATATTCCGTATTTGTGAAATTTTCTGAACCATGTCAACCAATTAACTTCACCAAGATTTGTAAGCCACAGGTTCAGTCTTTACCTTGTATTTCAATCTGCCTACGAACTACACTAAAAACAGCAGTCAGTGAACCCATTCACAGGAATCCCATCATTCAATTGATACATGTTGGATTTAAAGTGTGAGAAGTTATCTCCCTTCCCATGCATGTCATCAAGACATGTGACACTGTCCGTTGTATCTCTTTTTATTTATTTTTTTATTAATTTTTCTTTCTTAATTATTCAGTCAAATGTTACAGAAAACGCATTTACAGTATACATTTTCCAGAGTCAAACATTTTTTTAAATTTATGGTGGAAGCCTGTATTCTGCTGTTTTCTTTTCTTTTCTTGTTTTTATCTCGCGTTACATACACAACATATGTAATTGTCCGTTGTATCTCTGTTTACCATATCGCATTCCACACTGCTACTTCTACCATGATTGTCAATTGACTCATGCTCAAAGTTGTATTTATCAAGGTTACAACATTCAAACATTCAAAGCCTGAGTAAAGCTTTCAAACAGGTTAATATGGCTGACATGTGGATAACATTTCCATATGCACGTTTTCATATCTCCTATCTGGTCACAGCACATGCTCTTGATTATTTAGTTGATATGGTCAAGATCAACTCTGCTTGATATGGTCAGCAGAGATTTTTATTGATATGGAAAGTTTGGTTTTGTTCTCTTAAACTAAAAAACAATAATGAATATATTAACACACCAAGTAATGTCAAAATGTGTTCAAATACACTCTTCCCATCAAGACTTTTGACATATATATCAGGACACTGTAAACTGTGATGTGAGATGTCACAATGCATGTACCAATATATACATTTTTCCTTATTGTCATATAATGGATTACAAATAAATACAATTTCTTTACAGCAAACTCCATTACATTCTTGGTGCAGTCCCGTGCAGGATTTAAACCTACAATCTCAGAGTAAGAGACTAGTGGTGACAGAATGTCCCTGACACATTTCTCAACTTCAAGGTCAAACTAAGTTAAAAATTTCAGACAAAAAACAAACAGTTTTATATATTTTTAAGTCTGTTTTTCCACCTGTCCACTGTCTTGCTGGTTGAGATTAGAGATGAGAAACACAAACAAATATGGATGCCCTTATTGGTATACCTCATGTTGTCTTCATCCATTCCAAATATGACATCAAAGTCATGAAAGTCAGATTTTGTAATCTGAAAAGAAATAATTTGTGCTGTAAAAAAAGATGGTATGCAATAAAACCATGGCCACATGTTGTCTACTGTAACCATGGCCACATGTTGTCTACTGTAACCATTGCCACATGTTGTCTACTGTAACCATGGCCACATGTTGTCTACTGTAACCATTGCCACATGTTGTCTACTGTAACCATTGCCACATGTTGTCTACTGTAACCATTGCCACATGTTGTCTACTGTAACCACACATGTTGTCTACTGTAACCATTGCCACATGTTGTACTGTAACCATGGCCACATGTTGTCTACTGTAACCATTGCCACATGTTGTCTACTGTAACCATGGCCACATGTTGTCTACTGTAACCATTGCCACATGTTGTCTACTGTAACCATGGCCACATGTTGTCTACTGTAACCATTGCCACATGTTGTCTACTGTAACCATTGCCACATGTTGTCTACTGTAACCATTGCCACATGTTGTCTACTGTAAGCATTCCAATCACAGCAACTACATCAGGGAGTCTCGTATTTTTTCAGAATATTTTTTCAAGCATCAACCATTTTCAGGGAAAAGATTCAGGCACTTTTCAGCAGCTTGATTTTGGAACTGGTCAAACACATCTGACTGAATATCATTGGGCATACACTAATCCTTAGAACGGTAGCCTCAACACCTACCTGTCTACCTAGATGCTTGTAGTCTTTGATCCCATTCTTCTTCAGTGTCCTCATTGTGCGATCATCAGGGGGAACGCCATTATGCCAGTCTCCAAGAGCAGCGCTATCTATCTGCCACTGTAACATGGCAAACACGTCATGTACTGGCTGGGCATATACACAGACACCACCTATTTCAAGGCATATACACAGACACCACCTATTTCAAGGCATGTACACAGATCACTGGAGACACTTCATTCAATTGCAAAGCAGACCGGGTGGTAGGGTAGCCCAGTGGTTAAAGCATTCGCTTGTCATGCCAAAGACACACATATGATTCAACACATGGGTACAATGTGTGAAGCCCATTTTGGTGTCCCCTGCTGTGATATTGCTGAAATATTGCTAAAAGCGGCAAAGCAGACAGACACTCATTTACTGGAATCATATCAGATTCTTGTTTAAAGTTGAACTGGCTAACTTGTCAGATATGTGTTCTAGTTCTGTACATTGGGTGTGACCCGAAATCCTTATTGACTTAATCATAATATCTTGATAGTCAACAAGCCCTTTTAAATATTTACAATTACAGAAGTCAATAACTGTGACGATATTACCTACTGGTAAGGACATGCTGCACAATGAGTGCCCTAAAACAACAACAAGCTAAGAATATTAAACATATAATTCATAATAACCTCTTTAGGAAATAAAATGTATAAAGAGTTAAACCTTATCACCAAGTCCGTTAGTCTTGACCAGATGTTGAAATATTCCTTCTGCCATTGTTGACCGGCATATATTACCTGCAAAAGAAAGCATCATTTGTAAATGTCTCCTTAACAAACATCAACCAACCAGAGGGCTTGCTTCGACCACACACCCTTTTTGTGCTGATATATTCGTCAGCCATTTGTGTCAAGATCGTTTAGTTAAGAGTTAAAATCGGGTTTCAATCGACTTGCAGAAATAACAATAAAGAATTGGTAGGTGTCATGAGTAGTGCTCGATAGGCCAATCATCCATCATTATGTTTACATTAAGTTTTAATCGATTGTATGCGATGGTAGCGTAGCTATCGGCAAAGCAGTCGGGTAGGGTGCACCCAAATGTCCGGCCTTGTCATAATGCATTATGCTGTGAAGCATTTCGAGTCGGGGGTCACCTCAAAAACATTATTTTTTAAATCATTAATCCTCGCAAAGACACGAGGGCCAGTGATTTTGCACACTTTTCACCTTCTGCAATCTACAAGATACTGTGAATCAATATGATACAACTGCTCCAGGAGTCAGACACTGAATTCACAACAGAGCACAGTAATGATTGTGTTTAAACAGTTTGTCGGGTGACTTAATTGTCACAGAAAAAAGTGGGAGGGAACAATGTAAGGTTAACATGGATTATGGTTACAAACAAGGAAGGCATTGGCTACTCGTGCCACAAGGGTGAGTCTACTTTTCAATGAATCATAATTGACAAGTGTTGAGCATGAAAGTCACTTGGATGGAAATTTCAAAAGTCTCCTGCTGCAAAAACATTTCACATGTAACTATATGTTATCCTGCACATGGGATGTTTTCATGAGAAGAATATGTGCATCTGAAAACAATAAAATAATCCCAAAACACTGATAATACCCCCAGTTCATATAAATAAACTCGTCTTCCAGCAAAGGCCTACATCGAGCACACGTTGGTATATAGTGCAAAGTCGTCTAGTACGCTGGATTAATAATACCCTGCATTTATTTATTTGTACCTGTAGTTCACATGCTTGAAACTACAAAACGGTAGCTTATAAAATATGCTGCCGAGGACGATGTTTAGTACACAAATATTAAAAACATTGTTGAGCTTATTCCAGTGAAAGTATACGCCACATTACGCTTAGAGTTAAGTTAGACATGACAATGACAGATCACTGAGAGGAGATATAATGCGTGCTCGATGACCCCTGACGTCAAAGGGAATTGTTTCGCCAGTATCTTGCAACAAAATATCACACATTACATCATAGGGTATTGTGACGTGTTTGATAAGTAAGTAGTTCTGAAATCCCTAGTCATACGAAAACCGAACGAGGAATAGCCATTATGCCCAATGTAGTAATGGTTTTAACCGGGAGTGATTTACAAAGCGTCCAAACGCCGGAATTGAACAAGTATGCATCTGTGGCATAATTTTCACTGCCATCAAGGAAAGACACCATCTCACTGACTGACCTAAGCATATGAAAAGGACAGACTTCTTTTTAGTGGGGGCCGCCATATTTCAAGTTCCCATAATGCATCTCTTATATGACGGAAGCGGAAGCAAGTTGGTGAATCTTCGGGCCATGGAAGCTGTCAAGCCTGAAGAAAGATATACCTGGTTTATGTTGTCATTTGTGAAACATCGATGTATGTAAGATCCCGATGAAATGGACATTATGCATGTGAGGTCTTGACTGACCAATGGAAACTAATTCCATGAAGAAGGTGAGCAGCTGAAGACAACAATCACCAAGTCAGTTTGTGGTTGTTTTGAGATGACGCCTCGCCTCGGCGAATTTTGTGTGTATTTACTGTTTACAGTGGGCACAGACATGTGACGCGTCATTGAGTTGTGTCTTCCTAACGGCACTGTATATATGTGCATAATAAAGGATATATGAACTGGCCCATATGAACGTGTCGTCAGTGCTAGGCAGTAGTACTTTGGAATGATACTTAGATGTACCACAAAAAGACAGAGATCTAATTGACACGTTCATCTGAACTAAAATTAGACACGGCGCGAGGGTTTCACATAGCCTGTTGATTGCCTAACCAAGACTCTTGATCTACTGCCACAAGAAGCTGTCACTGCATTGCAAGTGGTTGACATAGGAATGTATTGATCATTTCAAGAATTCGAAACCTGTCAGTTGTGAATTCTCGTCAGAAGTGGATCATAGAAACAAACGTTGTTCCTTCCCATGTTGATTGAATAGATTATAGGGATTAATTCTGATGTGGATTACGTTGCTCAGTTGGATAGTGTGTCTCTAGTGAGTGCAAACAAATAATGCAATTTGGAAGAACTAACTTTCCCGGCCAGTGAAGTTTTCATCTAAACTCTCATAACAATGGCATCTGGTGGTGGAAATGGTCGACCAATGCCAGCCCCAAGAACAGGGAAACCACTTCTTGCTCCTAAGCCTCATCCACCTTTCCAACAAGGTGCTGCAGCTGCAGCAGCAGCTGCACACCTCCTCGGTCCTCAGGGTGGGAACCTTACCGAGGCTCGTGCAAAGACTGTCCTGAAGGAAGCAGTAGATGCTGTTGTGAATAGCTTTGCTAAACATACACATGGCTATGGAAGAGGTGAGTCTTTAGTCATCACCATATCTACAAGTTATAAATCTTTTTGTTGTGTTTACAGATGTATATGCCAGGTACCCTGTAGAGGTTTATTAACATCTTAAGAATGTAGACATGGTAAAGAAACACGAAGGGAAGCTCAAGTAAAATACATCACAGTGATTATCCATGATGAGTGATATATTACTGAATAAAATTCGGATTTATTCCCATGTGAAATTTGACTTGATTCACTTGGTTTAGTGTTGAACAGAGATTTTGCCCATGAACATAAGCATTGTCAACTTGGTCACCTTAACAGCTTCCTGTCATTTCCCCACCCACTATTTCCCCACCCACATATATATCTGGCCTGTCATTTCCCCACCTTCCTGTTTTTTGGTTGTTATTTCACTCCAATATAAAAATGAATGAACAAGAAGTAGTGTGAAATATATGTCATTCTTTAATATTCAAGTGGATTTTCTTGGCAACTGAGTTAATAAATTCTCCGATACTTTTTTCACTGTCCGCATATGAAGCACATAGTCTTTGCAATTTCTGCTGGTGATCTGCTGTCACATTTCACTTGTTTGGTTGGTTGTTCTTGATAATCTCCATCTTTGTGTCATAGCAGGCTTTAACCATCATAGTATATATAGTACACATGTAATGAAAACATCTGAGATTGGTGTAAACGCAGTGTTAGAACACATTTATATTTTATTTCATTCTCAGTTAAAAGTAGGGAGTTCATTCAGATGTAATTTATCATCATATGGGATTTGACTTTTGAGGGTAGCACTCTTTATTTTGAGTTGAAGGTACTTATGTTTTCTTCAATAATACTGAAGGTATCCGATGGCAGTGTTCCAAGAGTTGGGTATAAGTAGCCAAACTCTGTTTCCAATCTGCACTAAATTACATGGATATATCACAGCTTGATCTGAGGACTCCTGATACTTGGGTGTATGTTTCTTTCATGATTCAAAGAAAGTTGTTTTTGTAGCCAAGGTTTTTTTTGAAAATCGGCTCATCTGGTGTTTTCTTTGTAATCAGGGTCTGTAACTATTTCAGTGAGATTTTCATTCATTCTTAAACACCAATTTATGATGTTTATATAATAATCATGATAACTAATTGTGTAAACACCAAGTTTGTAAGAATAAAATATTCTTGACCAGTTTTTAATCATGTTAGACATGAACAACATGTAGGAGACAAAACTGTCAAAGCTTTTGAAGGACAGCCCTGCAAGACAGTGACATCCATCTGAAGAGCCTCCTGTCAGTTCGTGGTCTCCTGGCACAAGGCCAGAGTCAGGGACGGCTTGGTAACACAGGTGCTGGAATGAGGACATTAGCAAAGTACAGGCTTCAAAGGATATTTTTTTTATTAGCTGTTGAGACATAGTTTCTCATGAACCTGGGCTGTGTTCTTGAGTTGCAGGGGCAATGAGTGTTCTATACCAGGCCTTTGAGTGAACGCCAAGTGCAGACAATGTCTGAATATATGAATACTGATGTTTGTTGACTCACAAAAACGGCAACCGTCTTACTCTATGTGATCATGATGAAGGTCATTACTGTATTTTGAATATGTTTAATATTTCCATGTTAAGTATTCCATGACTGTATGTGTTGTGTGGACTGCTTACTACATGCATGTTGATGACTAGCTTCATTGCCAGCTATTAGCATGACGTGTATTACACCCAGATGATTCACATGATTCAGTCAATGTCTTGATATCAGGTTTAAGCATTGCTCATATCCCACTAGTTTGGAGCTCACTTCTAACACAGTAAACTTAACACAATGATAGTGATTGAAAAAGGTTTCAGCAATATTCCAGTAGTATCACTGCAGGGGGCTTCAGAAATGGGTTCCACAGAGTGATTATACCAGTAACCTAATTCTCATCAACAATATCAATAGCACCTGTTTGTTTATCTCATGTTCCCTGGCTGTGTTTGCAGGGAGGATATGGTAATCATGTGATTTATACACATAATTATTATTGGAAATTAAATCAAATAGGATCCTTTTGTTATTTTTTTATGTTAAAATGTTACATTAACATGAACACACTATCTGACAACCATGAATTCATTATAAAATATCTTTATTATATTTTTTTTCATTAACTGTGCCCACTTTTTTCTCAAGCAGTAAGTACACAATTTAATGAATAAACCCAAACAAAAGACCCCAAAACTACTTTAGTCTTGAGATGAGATAAGTGATAAAATCATTTGAATATGAGTACATTAAAAAAATCTGTAGTTTGCTGAGAAAGTGTAGACCCAGATGTACTTTTATAACATGTTAAACCCATTTGTGTTCATTTGTGAAAAATTATATTGGTTTGTTGGATTGTTTGAACATTCCCTTAAATTTTGAAAGATATCAATTTAATTTGTTGGTTCAGTACCTGTTAATGGTTTTGTTATGATTATGACTGACCTGCTGTATGGTGTCTTTTGTCTTCCATGAATTAGGGCAGGGTACATGCACCAGCCCATCAGTGGGATAAGTAGGGATAAGCCTGATAAGTGATGTGGATTTAGGAAAAGTCAGCTTTTTGTTATTTAGATTTTGGTTGAATATTCCGAGTGCTACACTTTACATGTGTCAGTGAGGGATTCACACTGAGTCAGAGAGTGCACTTTGTTTATCACCATCAGCAGTATTGGAGCTGTGTGACAGGGATCACTTCAGACCAGATGGACTGTACTAAACTACTCGGAGACATTGCGTGTAATTGTAATGATGCAAGACCCAGGGTCTGACCTCCAGTGCAGATGATTCTCATAACAAACACGTTCAACCAAGGAGCAGGAGTGGCCAGCTCATCCAAGTCAACGTAATTCACTGTAGGTCCTGTTCATACCTGAAACCCTGACTCTGGGTTCAAATCCCACTTCACTCTGATCGTGTTTCTGGGTTTCTGAGCACCAGATCTGGACTTGTGGTTTCAACAGTGGCAGATATGAAGCCATGTGTCACTTCTGGCTTCTTCCCTTTTTTAACTTCAAGCTGACATGTAATAGAACTGAGTGAAATAATGTTCACAGTGGTGCCAAACCAACTGAGGCACTTTAGAACATTTATTGACCAGGGCTAAAACAGGCACAGTGTCGTTTTAACATGTTTATGAAGTGGCTTTAGCACAACCATGAGATCACTTTGTGGAATCGTACCCTGATCACACAACTTCTGCTTGACCAACCGAGATTAGGTTTGAATTTATATGGTGAACATCCACTTGAATATGTTGATGGCTTTGATAATGAAAACTCTGTCTATTATGGAGGTAGAATCTAGCTGGAACCATTATCCTCTTGAAATAGCATCAAGATTAAGAACCTAAGTAAGAAGGTTTCATTTCCTGATAATTCAATTATGAAGCCCAAATTAAAGTGTGTAATGTCATAAATGAATTAAGTTTATATCCTACAGGGTGACCAATTTCCTGTTTATAGCCCTTGTCTGAAGTGACGAATGCATGCTATCTAAAATTACAACACTTGTAAATCCTGATGGCTCGGGTAATGGGCCTGAGAGGCTGTTAAAGTGAAGCCATTAGTCTTACACTGTGAGAGCTGTGTAGTGTTAGCACAGAGAACCTGATCCCACAGTTCACAGTGTGATGTCTTTACCCTTGCTCCTGTAAGTGGCAAGACATTGACATGTGGCCACACGGTCACTCAGGCAGAACGCTCCCTGTCTACATGATACATCCATGGATAAATGTTATGCTGTCCCTGTCACCTTAGGCTAGTGCTGTAGGACAATGTCAGTGGGTCTGTACTACTCGTCATCCTTCAATCAATGCCATTCATACAACTCTCGATCTTATGTCAGTGGCACTCTTATGTCAGGGAAACCCTGGCATGTACAACTCTCAAACCTTATGTCAGTGAAACCCCGGCCTGTACATCTCTCCCTTATGTCAGTGAAGCCCTGGCCTGTACATCTCTCAACCCTCGCCTGTACATCTCTCAGCCTGTACATCTCTCAACCCTTATGTCAGTGAAGCCCTGGCCTGTACATCTCTCAATCCTTATGTCAGTGAAACCCCGGCCTGTACATCTCTCAACCCCTGATGTCAGTGAATCCCTGGCCTGTACATCTCTCAATCCTTATGTCAGTGAAACCCCGGCCTGTACATCTCTCAACCCTCATGTCAGTGAATCTTCATGTCCCTGGCCTGTACATCTCTCAACCCTTATGTCAGTGCCTGTACATCTCTCAACCCTTATGTCAGTGAAGCCCTGGCCTGTACATCTCTCAACATCTCTATGTCAGTGAAATCTCTCAACCCCTGAAACCCTGGCCTGTACATCTCTCAATCCCCTGATGTCAGTGAATCCCTGGCCTGTACATCTCTCAATCCTTATGTCAGTGAAACCCTGGCCTGTACATCTGGCCTCAGCCTGTACATCTCTGTCAGTGTCCTGGCCATCTCTCAACCCTTATGTCAGTGAAACCCTGGCCTGTACATCTCTCAACCCTTATGTCAGTGAAACCCCCGGCCTGTACATCTCTCAACCCCTATGTCAGTGAACCCTGGCCTGTACATCTCTCAGCCCCCTGAATCCCCTGGCCTGTACCTGGCCTGTACTTATGTCAGTGAAACCCTGGCCTGTACATCTCTCAAACCTTATGTCAGTGAAACCCCGGCCTGTACATCTCTCAGCCTGTACATCTCTCAATCCTCATGTCAGTGAATCCCTGGCCTGTACATCTCTCAACCCTCATGTCTGTGAAACCCTGGCCTGTACATCTCTCAACCCTTATGTCAGTGAAACCCCGGCCTGTACATCTCTCAATCTTCATGTCAGTGAATCCCTGGCCTGTACATCTTTCAACCCCTGATGTCAGTGAATCCCTGGCCTGTACATCTCTCAACCCTCATGTCAGTGAAACCCCGGCCTGTACATCTCTCAACCCTTATGTCAGTGAAACCCCGGCCTGTACATCTCTCAACCCTTATGTCAGTGAAACCCGGCCTGTACATCT